TGACTGAATATAGCACCTTGTATTGCTGATCTTCAGTGGTTATCTTCTCATTGCACAGTCGCTCAACATGCTTATTGTTTCCGATAGCATCCAATACAATTGCTGCTCTCTTTATAACTTCTTCCGGAACACCTACAAAAACCGATGCAATATCAGAAAACTTTAAGGGGTGAAAATTGAAGCCCCAAGAAAAACAAAGAAGATTCTTTCATCATCATGATGCTCTTCAACCTTCCTATTCCCATGGGTCTCTAGAATGTCATTACACATACCAATCACAGTATATTGTATCTTGGATATGTCTATAGTGGGCTCAGTCAATTAAAACACTTAGGAAAATAGAAGTTATAGGTCCATTTATGGTTGTAGTCGGCAACCATGTTTTGCGTTAACCCATACAATAATACAAAACATTGAATACCCAGAATAAATTTAAAATTTATCTATTAAAGCCTGAAGGTCCTGAAAGTTTATTTCCAAAGCACCATTTGTTAAAACTCACCAGCAAGCAACGCACAATGCAGTCCTGTAAAACATTAATTGAAGTGAGTGAATTTTTTTTTTAATCAAAAGCTCCTATAGGAAGATCCGACTAGATATATATGTACTCACCGTAGCTAAGAAGTGCATGTCCAGGAACCAGCCTGCCAGATATAGGAAGACAAATGGATTTAACAGCACTACTCCACAGAAATTTACAGGTCAATGAGCATATACACATGCATCTTGTAAATTAGGATGGTGAAGTTTTTCTGTTGACATGTCATAAGTGACATCTAAGGCTTTAATCACAACATTCAGCTGGCCAGAAATCATGATTCTAAAGTTCTATATACAAATGTGCACTACTTTAGGGTTAAAAATGTACCTGTACAAAAATACAATATCTTCAACATCGGTACAGTTGTCGTCAGGTCTTAATACGCTCATGGTGTAATACTTGATTTTCTCAGACTGAAATTAACAATGTATAGAATTGTTTTCACAGTGTGCATAGTAGTCCAAGTTTAAATATCTTCGAGTACGTAGCATAGCTACAAGATAGTACCTTGGGTAAGCAACTATTGTCAAAGATCTCAGTCAAGTGGGTGCAAACCAGAACCTGCAAACAAGTGTAGCATATTCCATCACAAAATGTCTAATAATCAAAAAAGTATTAAAGATATAAGTTTTAAACAGGAAATTTAAGACTTTTTGTTTTTCTATCCAGTAGGCTTCTTTTTTCTGGTAACGCACAATACGTACGGCATTCCTTAATTGGTTTATGGTTTTCCAAAACGAATTTTAGACTAAGCAAAGTATTTCAATATTTGATCTAAGTGTGAAGAAGGTGCATCGCACTTGATTGAAAGCAATGACAGAAAAAGGGATTGCATGCAATGACACATCCAGGTGTTCGCCTAAATTTTGGAAATTCAATCACGTCAACACAAGCCAGGAGAGATGTAGAATATGCGGACCATCAAATAGGTGCTGGGTAACTAAAACAAAGCAACACTCCTGCTCAATGTGATGGCAGATCACTTCTTTCAGGAGTTTATGGTAAGACAACAACAATCACGGATTGTTTCTGAAGCTGCATGGTACTATCAAAACACGCCAAAAATAAATCATTAATACTTCTCATAGTTATGGTGGATGAGTGCCAAAAGTAGGTAAGACCAACTGTGAAACAAATGTAAGAAAGAGAATAAAACTAATCCCATTGTGTAAAAAGTAGAATGGGGCAGTGGGATAATTTGTTCATGTGCAATAAAATAAAAAAGCTATGGATAGCACAAATGAAGTCAAATAGACTGCTGACAAAGGTCGAGGACGAGGACTGCATGGACCTTAGAATGTCTTACAACAGCATTTTTCATTAAATATTAGCTAGTCATTATCTTTCCAGGGTTTTGCTTATAAAACATGTTTTTTGATTATTATCAGCAATTTATACTAAGGTGGTTCATTTTGGAGAGCATGGTCCACAACATAATATTTAATGCTTAGAATTCACGTGCAACGCACATCTGCAACTACTAGTATTACTGAAATAGTGGTGTAGGAGAAAAAGTATACTGAAAGGTGCTCCCTATTTTTGTGGAACTCCTAATATTACTTTGCATTTCTTAGCAACTTAGAGCGCAAAAAGGGTAAGAATATCAAACCTTTGGCGGGTCATAGCATGAGACAAAATGATTGATGGTTCCACCAAGGAGACCGATGCCATCTGAAATAAATATTGAGGACTTTGTTTTCAATTGAGAACAGCCATGGATCAAATACTACGAGTTGGAGAGCCAAATATCGTGGGGAATAACTAACCTTCAGTAAGAGTGCCTTTCCCAAATTCATCTAATAAACATAAAGATCGAGAAGTTGCATGCCTAGGATGTGTCCAACACCAATATAAAGATCAATAACATATGAATGGAAAAAAAGTATCAATATGTATTTCCGGGAGTGCAGTATGTGAATTTCATACCCATTGATGCAATAATGAGAAATTTACAGCCGATAAAATAGATTCGATGTTCCATCAATATACTTCAAAGACCAAGTGTTGCAAGATGCAGATATGCTGTGTTCGTTAGTTATCAGCTTATAAGCTATCCTTACAAAACTCAGTTAAGTATACCTTAGCATCATTCCCACTTGATGTAGATCAATCATAAATGTTGATTGTTCAGCAGTCATAAACTTGCTCCCCATTGCACAAAATATCCTATTATTCACAGTTTGCTGAAAGTATGGTCATTTTCATACGAAAATACATAAAAGTAGTCCCAAGGACATTATGATTTAAAATTCGGAATACAGAGATCAAACCTATCAGTCAAACCCACAGTAGCTGCATCTGCTGGTATGAAACTCCCGATGTGGGAAAGGAAAACTATCAAAGCTACCTGAGAGAGAGATCTATCAAGACAACATTTTTATGCATGCACTCAATGGCTGCCAGTATATAAACACAATGGCTTCAGCTTTACATATTTGATATCTCGTGTCCAACACATTGAGGGAAAACAAAATGCTGCACTCAACACATCAAAGGAGGCCCAAATATGAATGGCACTGGCACCAGCATTAATATCTGATATATGGTGCCTGACACTCTGGCGCCAGGCCAGCATGCATTCAGCTCATACATCTAAGTGTCAGACAAGAAACAATATGAATTACAGAAAGTATAAATGCCTTGTAGGGGAGGGTGATGCTCAGTCACAGTGCTGGTTGTAAGGAGGCATATATATTATCACTGACCTGCTTTATGTAAATACTTTTCCCTGAATAATTAGGGCCTGTGATGATATTGATCCTTCCTGAGAAAGAGAATGTCATAACATTAACAAAAAGAACCAGTGTGCTAGGATAGGACAAGGATTTGTCAGATTGAATGAAATTTAGAGTCTTTAGACCACTATCTTACAAAGAAATGTGTAGTTTCAAATACCTTCATCCAAAATCTTTGTGTCATTGGGAATGAATGTGTCTACTGTCATTTCCTGCAAGACATGTCTTGTAACAAGATGAATTACTTGTTACTTCAGCAATGAACAAACAATTTCTTTAATAAGGTTTGTCACAATACACTGACAATAGTGACATATTCCAATTGTATAAGATGGCTCTAACCTTCCGTTCCGAATATCAAGAAAGCTTTCTGCTGTCAAAGTGGGCCTCACATAATTGTTTTGACGAGCAACCAACGCCAACGACAAAAAGCTAATAGATAATGTGAATATACTGTAGTTAGGAAAAACCTACTGAAAAATAATATAGAAACATCAAAAGAGATAGCGGCTTAAAGGACCAGCAGCCAGTGGTTGAAATGATTCTTCTCTGTTAATGCTAAGCAATCCTTCAGAAAGAAAGGGGGGGAGAGTTGAAACCTTACCTATGAGCCAGAGGATAAACTGATGCTTACCAATCAAGTTCAGCTGCAAAATTGACAGCTTTGAGCAGATCCACCGAGTATTGAAGAATATGTGTCAATAAATCCCTTGTAATTACTCTCTCCATATCTTGGGAAAACAGAAGGCAAAAAGGAAGAAACAAAAGACACTAGCCATGCTGAGATTGTAATAACTTTGTCATGAAAAGTTATCAAGTTGCACATGTATAAAGTAGACGGCTTGCAGTAACTACCGCAAGCTGAATAATAAACCATGGATGTTCATCTGGAACACATGTTAAATCATATACTGTTATTGGTAATCCACAAAGAATACCAAGCAATGCAGAATTTCTCATCAGGAAGGCATACAGTAAAAAGTGGCTTGAATTACCTACCTAAAATTTTATGATATATATCTCCTAAGAGGTTGTCCAACTCTCGTGTCTTTGCAGTGCGATAGAAAAACTTTAGGGTTTCTCCATCCTCATCAGAGAACTATACATGGAGGGTACACTTTTTAGCATAGATAAGCAAATGAAATACAATTCCACCAAGGATAAATGTGAATTTAAGTGAGTCTTGACTTACGGCAAATTCAAAATCTTGAAGTTTCTGTAGAATTGTTTCATCAAGTTTTTCTCCAAAAATGCACATCAAGTAACCTACAAATGAACAAACAGCAGTAACACTGATAAAAGATGGTCTAGTTTAGCTGAAGTTAAGAGACAACATTCCAGTTTAATTTACAAGAAACGGTGAAAAGCTAACATGCAATAATAAAACATGAGATATCCTCATCTATATGCGAAAATTTGCCAATGTAGGGGTTAGGGCCCGTGGGATGTCAGTACTCATTGAAAGAAATTATTCCTTAGAATATTCGATGAAATTCGTACAGCTTGTCCAACCTTAGCAAAATCTTATACTCAAATACTTGGGGAAACTGGAGCCCGAAAATGATGCGTATTATTCTTTGCATTATGAGTTATAACAGTTTAGTAATTTAGGTGTTATGCACAAAAAGGTGAATTTGGAAGTCATTTCTAGCTCCCTCAGCCTCATCCATCACTGATACCGAATAGCTGAGCCGTATCTAACTTGGCACCTTCCGATCCAATACCATTCCATGTTTCATGTAAACCACGAGCCTCACGCAACACAGCCGAGTAGTTGAGACTTCTCCGAGTCATCTGTGGAATCATCGCCTAATTGACTGATATCGTTCTTCGACATTGCGATATGGCCTAAACTCCTTGTGATGTTAAACTTCTTTTTCTATGTAGCATTTTGCGCATATTATCCGACACCTTTTTGTGATGGAAAGACAGATATGTCTAAATGTCTTTCGAGTCGATGATCAATACCGCAACCTTGAACCATAATGCTGGGGTCTTTGATTTTTATTGGTTAATTTATAAATAAACATTCACATTTAATAAATGCTCATTGCTCAAGCAATATGGATTATCAGTAAAGGTGTGAAATGAGGCAATTCCACCATTGTTGTCCCAACTCCAAGCATCATTATATGAATTCTGAATCCATCTTAAAGATATATCCTTTTTAGAGTTAATTTCTTGTTTTTATGGGTTGGCCATCAGGAGGAGTTTTAAATGTATTGAATAATCCTGCACTACAGGATTACAGAAATTGGAGACTTTTTTTACCTCGGAATATCAAGATAAAAGACGGGAAGAATACTATTGATTTGACTTCTTGCTTTGGTGATTTCGATGTTCTTATTTATTATGTGTTGAAATGTCAAAAAGTTTTATAAAGGTGCACCTTAAAAACTGTTTTAAATAAGGGACACATACGATTAAGCCTCAGCAGCCTAGAACAAAATAGGGTGTCAAAATTGTCATTGTAAACCCACAGTAAGAGTGAGAGTCTGATCCAAAAAAAAACCTTCAGTGAGAGTGATTTTTACGCAACTAGGCAAATGTAGAATTTAATTAACTTCTAGTTGCATCGTTTTTCTGTTAATCTACATCTCACCAACCCATTGAAGGGAAATGGAAATATATTGAGGTTTGACAAATTGTGCGACCTACATTTTTATAAATTTTCCCTATCTTTCAATGTACAATGAGCTATCGAAACATGATTCTGCAAGTTCTTTTTATATATTCTTCACATGACAACAAACAGAAGCCCTCAAAATACTGCAAAAAAGCAGACCATCATACTTTAGCAATAAGATAAGATTAATAGGGAAAAATACAGTCTGTACCATATACGAGAGGGAGGCTATTAAAAACTAAAGCAGTAAAGAAATATGGTGCATCAACATTATATGCTCAAAACCATCCTAAGGACCTAAGCAGGAGATTCGATCTATATGAAATTATGAATAATAAAGCACCCATGCATAAGTGAAACAAAAATAGAAGTGCAAACCAACCTATCTGATGTATATAAACAATAGAAGGAACAAACTTGTCTCTGGACATATAAGGAAGTCGTGCAAGTTCCATTGATGACACCTGTAAAGCGCCGGTACAATCAAATTAGACATTGTGGAGATCCAATTTCAATTTTCTTGGTCTATCAAGGAAACTGTAAAGTGCCGGTACAGTCAAATTAGACACTGTGGAGATCCAATTTCAATTTTCTTTGTCTATCAAGGAAACTAAAATGCACCTCTTCCAGAAATTCCGGCAATTCTTCATAGATTTGCCTCAACTCATCCAACTACACTTAAAGGCATAGGAATTCTTTGTCAAAAGCGCCAGAGACAATGAGAATCTAGAATACCAAGACCGGTAAAATAACAAGTCTAAAAAAGTTTATGAAACTAATGAATATGATGCCCCACCTCATCACAGAAACCATCTTTTACTACTGTCTCATAACCCTTCTCTTTATTTCTAGTTACATCAATGACACCAATCACCTACATAACATAGTCAAACACAATAATCTCTTAACTCGTAACAACAGAAATTAACTGCAAGGCAGAATAGCCACTCAGGGTAGATCAGAGTCACACATGACCAGATTGCAAAGTAAAGAGTCCAGAATGAACTCTACCAAGACATGGTGACTGGATACCATGGTGTCATAAGTATACTGAATTGGCAAATGCTAATCATAAAAGAAAACTCAAAACAGAATTATGTTAAATTTATATTGATACAAGAAGACAATAGGGCCTCAATAGTTAAAAGGCTTTTGGATAGAAATAAACATAATATCAAGTTGAAAGCGTGCATGTACGGCCACAAAAAAAGATGTATGATGAACGCAACGGAGCTCCCGCCACTATAACAACTATCGTAATGATAAAGATTGCAAAAGATTTTTTTCCCAATTGTATCCAGCTGTAACAGTGTACACATAACATGGACTGAACTATGACAACTAACCAATTCATAGACATAAGCCAGATCTGTTGTAATGCATGAACAAGCCTGCAATAAACTTAACACCCGTAATAATGACACTAAGAGATTGGATGAAATTGACAACAACAAATAGCAGCAAGGAGATTGCCGTCTCAATAATTTGATACCTTCTCAACGATGTCCAACTTCAAATACCTCACTTGCTCTCGAAGAGTTTCAGAAAGGCCAACTTCAAATATCTTGTTGATGTGCAAGAGTGAACAAATGCTCTACATGAAAAAAAAAAAAAACATTTTTTCTCTATCTAAATTTGTAAAGGACAAGATCAAGAAAGAAATAAATAAGGAAAGAAAGGAGAAGAAAAGAGAGTAAAACCAATACAACATCATTTTCCCTCAACATAAAGTTGACATAAGATTCCAACTTATATATTGCTTAAAGGTCAAAATCAGCATATAATATAACAAATGCCACATATATAAACATGGAGCCTTAGAAAATCAAAGAATTGTTTTCTTCTGCAATGCCTTTTTATTCCACATATCCAATCCGTGCAAAGAAGTTAGGTGATTTTCTTAGAAGAGGCACTGTTCATATAGTTTGGAAGGGACGCCGGTGATTGCCATCCAACCGTGAAATCCTAGGAAAATGGGGTGAGACTTCATTTCATGGAGACTAATGAGGCTTTGCATCCCTTTTAAATTTTTGAATGTTAATGTTTAAAAACTATGACCTGTGAAGACAAACATCAATTTTCTGTCTTGGTGTTTTCCCAGTGATTGGGACTAGCTTTTTATTTTGGTTTTTTCTGGTCTCAGACAAGCTTTGTTCAGATGAATTGCGCTGATTATGGTCCAGTTAAATGGCTCAAAGCTTTGGGAGCATGCTTCAATTCATGGAAGCCATTGCTTGGAATCAAACAGAGGTAATAACTCTCCCTGGCCAATCTATTCTTCATAGTAGATAAAAATGCCATTCAAGACTTTCTTAAAACGAGTTTGAAGCGTTGCTGTTGGAATTTCAAACAGACTTTAATTGCCAAATCTTAAAACTTGAAAAGACTTGCTTTCTTTAGAATTAAAAGAAACCCGTCTTAATCTTTTGGCTCTTGAGGACAGCAAGTTTTCCCCCAGCCTGACTTCCTGTCCCCAAAACAAAACGCATATATATGATAAAATAATACAAGGAAGGAAACGGACTACTGCTGTTGCAAGGAAACACCTAGGAAAACTGCTTTCCTAGGAAGAAGCATTTTTAAATAAAGGAAAACACTTAATTTTTTCATACATGAATATACTACTAGGTACCAATGAAGTATCCTTGCCATCAACTTAGCTGACGATTAACTCAGAGTCATTTCTTCAAAAATACAATGGCATGGAGTGGCAAATCTACCTTCAAAAAAGCTGTCCACTCACCACTTGTACACAGAGAACTCGGGGAGTTGAATTTCTTGCACAACAAAAAATAAATCCTTACAGAGATCAGGAATTGAAGAACACAACTGTAAAACAAAACTGTAATTAAGGGAAAAAACTCTGCTGACAGAAAAACTACAGGGAACTCTTCGAGCTCCCATCAATTAGAATTACCCAAAAAAAAGATCCTCGTAATTAATCGCAATTAGCTATAGTTCATTTTCTAGGTTGACCAAGCATGCTTCAAATTCCTCATTTGAGCAAAGACAAAAAGGTTCTCACAGCCACTAGTTTCATATATAGGTTTGCAATTGAGATATGGAAATTAGAATTGTGAACAAAATTCTCTGATTCCAATAGTGATCAGCACCTACACTGACTAAATAAATTAATTAATAGGAGCTTGAACTCTTGATTTGAAAAAAAATAATAATACAACATGTAGGATAAAGATACAAAGAATAGCAGAGAGCAAGCAGCTTGCACCTTGAGTATGTGAGGAACATCCTTCACAGACTTCAATGTTTCGCGTAAAGAAGCCAATAGTTCTTCAGAGCAAAGAAAGAATGATATCTTGATCCGTCAAAGAACACTAACTTCTGTCAAGTTAGATAGGAGAAATAAAGTCGAGAGAATAAAAATTCATGCAGAAAAAACGCAAAAAAGGAGTATGAAAATTCTTTTTACATGTACTATCACCAACTGTTTAGGCAGTCGAAACACAGGAAGGATACAGTATTGAGACGAATGTTCAGGTTATCAAGGTCTAGTATAGGCCTCAGAAACCAGTTCCTAAATCAACACAACCATTTGTCCAAGGCTTAGGTATAGCAATGATGAGAATGCGTAGCATCACAAATCTCTTGATCTAAATGTACCTCAAGAGTCGTCTACCAATTGGTGTTAGACACTGAAATAAGCACAAAAAACTAAGTCCAATTTTCAATATGTCGCAGATATGAACCCAATTTTCCAATGCACACCTTATTCATCATCCCAAACACAGAGAACCTGCATTTCAAAAGTATTAGCACAAATTTATAATAGATGAAATCATATAGAGTATGTTTCAGCATTTACCCTTCTTTTGCTCTACCAATACCCATATGGCTTGGATGTTTGTCTATTTGGAATATTTGTAATGCCTCGTGAGCTGCTGCATCAACTTTTAGAAATTTGTTTCTAATTCTAGTTGTCAAGTCATACATTATAGAACAAATATAACGTCCAAAGAAAAAAGATATAAAAGTGAAAATGAATATTTTCAAAATCTATGAAATTAAGCATTAAAAAACATCACATGAGAGATACAGTGAAATCTCTGTAACCGAATCAATTGTTATTGATGCATTCCCACACTCCTTTTGCTCAAGGGTATCTACAATTCTTTCATTCTCTAATATGGCAAGAAGCCCTCCGCTTGCACGAACTTGAACATCACTTCCAATGTCCATCATAGAACTTAGCTGCAGTTGATAAAAGGGCTCAAGATGTTGTATGTAAGAATTAGTATAAACAAAGAGGTTTTGGTCCAAACATATAGGTGTCAAATAAGTTTTGAATGTTTTAAGTCAACATAGCCATAAAACGAAAAGTATAGTTACACCATGCAGTGACAAGTTCTCATTTGCCCAAGCAATACTTCGCAAACTTAAGTCTAGAAATTCACTATCAAAAATGGGGGTGAGGCTGCCTACCACTTATCCCTCCATGCCTATGGGAGGGAGTCTTGTGGACTAGGTACGACTTCTTTTTTTAAACTTCTCAACATGCATATATTATATACTACCTGAGAAAATTAGTTTAGAAAATACTGCAAGAATTCATGAACTGTTTGAAGAAGGTTTTATTGAATCAAGTTACAAGCATAAATGTGCATCCACACATGCACAATCACATTGCAATGCAAAAAGAATAAAGGTTTGCAGTGTCTTTGTCATGGATATGCTTCAAATGATTACATAGATGACAACTATACAAACCACAAAAAGCTCAAATGTGAGTGCACATAAATTACGAAACTTAAAACGCTAATCATGAGACACAGTAGAAAGTTTTATTTCAAGAATGTATAAAAAACTACAGCATAATCCCAAAGTAAAGCATGCTAGTTTTTAGCTTACAAAACAGATTCTCTCCTTGATGTTCAACCCATCATCCATTCCTGTTACTCGAAGGTATATCAATCTGCAGAATTCAAAAACAAAAAAGTTGGAAAGGAACTTAGCAGAGAGAAACAAACTGATGCATTGGGAAACAAATTTTTGATGAAGGAACAACAATGCAAGTCCTGCGATGTTAATCAAATCTGTTGTTAGACCCAAATTTCTTTTCATCCCTTCAATATAGAGACGTAGTACGACAAAACAATTCCAATAACAAAGAGGAAAAGTATCAATAGAACATTCAATGTTTCTCCACCTGTGCCATGCTTGCTCGTAACTGAATATTGAACTCTTCATAAGCTTCACAACAGGAGCCTCACTTGTTCCATCTGCATCACTTCAACTAGTAAGCACCAAATGCTGACAGTTGAAAAGGACAGTAAGTTATTAAACAAAATACCATTTCGTTGTAATGCATTCAAGAAGGTTTCTTCACTTTTAGTGCTTGCATATATTATCAGGGGCTTGGCCTGATATTTGACTGAACCAGAATCATGAGAAGTATATTTACAAGATGCAGTACTAAATATGCTGAACAACAACTAACTGATCCCATAAGCAAAAACATAAGAAATAGAGAAACACAAAAGTAATCAAATAAGCCGGAGAGAGTGTAGTGTTTAATTCAACAAAATGGTCACAGCATGCAAAAAGACATCTTTACTATCTAAGAGACGAGAAGCTTGTACCCATATCAACCAGAGGAAAATCTGTGGTACCATCTTCCCAGAATTCCAACACAAAGAGTTGCCGGATACTGGAATCATAATAAGAAACTCCCACTCTGGCAAGACAGTAAGTCTAATCATGAATTTATAAACAAAAGACATCGAGCTGAATTTCAATAAAACAAAACACTAAAATATGCTAGAAGTATGAGAAGCTCCTTAGCCATATCAACATTCCAATAGATTGTAACCGGTGCAAGCATTTCCATATGTTTATTAACACCAATTATTATCCATATAAGAGACTCACCTATTACCATGCATGATGCATGCCATATAGACCTGCATACAAAACCACATAAATGGCGTATCAATGAAAAGTTGCAATGACTCACACACAGACTTGACTACTTTTCTTTTTTCTTTTACTTATACTATTTTTGTTAGCAAGTGGCCTGATAATTTCACCTGTGCAAAGTTCATGTAATAGAAATAGATATCATTTTCTGATTATAAGTCCTTAACATTTATGATTATAACTACTGCAACTGGTGCTTGGCAACCTACATCTAATTGTCACCCATCATCTAGGTTGTCCCAGATTTAATGTTCTTAAAATAGATGTATGCTTTCACAATTCAGTAATAATTGATACCAACTTCTGGATGAAATAAAGATTATGCAAGAGAAGTCTTGCCTTCTCCATACTCCCTAATTTGAAAATTAATTGAGCAAGTACCAGAGACTTATGTCAGTTCAGCATTCCAATACCAATAGACTCCCGGTATGCTGTGATCAGCATACCAAAACTATAATCATGATTTTTAATATTAGGTCTGCAAATTATTACATTGCTTACTGCACGGGTGAGACTCTGGTGGCTGCAATTCACTGACGTAAAACAAAACAAGGTAAATGAAAATAATAAGAGGGGGACAGAGAAAGAATGCCATAAGTACCGATATATCTGCTCCTGCAAATGCAACAATAGCTAAAAAGATCAATGTGTGAATATTGTTCTTGTAGGATCTAAGAAAAACAAGAGGCCTCCTTTTAAGTGAGCCTACTACAACCATCTGATTCATATGAGTTGAGTTTCTCTCTTTCTTTCTTTTCTATTTACCAACCGCGATAACCACCAAAAGAACAAAAAAATTCTCTCACTGTCTTCCATTTCTCAGCAACCAAACCAAAAATGACAAAAATTGGAATGCGTAATAAATCAATTAGAGCTGATAATTTTAAGGCCTAAAAAATGCTGTAGTCAATTGAGGTTATATATAAGCTCTTGTTGCATCAACTTCGAAACCGCGGAACATATATGAACAACATTGGTACTCCTTACCTTCCTTACCTTTTATCTTGTTGAGATGAATGGTTCAAGTCCCTTTTTCCTCCCCCTCTCCCCAAAATAAAATAAAAATAAAAAATATATATGTATATCTATATATATATATATATATATATATATATATATATATATATATATATATATATATGTGAATAGAAAAATAACAGGGAGACATAAAAAATTTCTTTTCCTCATTGTCCTCGATTTTCTCAGCAACCAAACGCAGAGTTAAATTAATGATTAGTGAAAATGTACAACTCGAAATATAATACATTGAACGGAGTCTATGATTTTGCGGCATTGAACGGACATGTATTAAAGTTATATAAATTCCATTACTCCATCGTAATAATGTAGGTATAAAATGTCGACTATCCCTTGCGTTACAGTATAATCGGCGACTGTGAAGCAGTTTGAAATAGTAGAAAAGAAGATCGAAAATCAACCTGAGGTACGGCTTCTGTTTCGTCGACTTCCTCCATAGATTCGAGTAAAACTGGAGAGAGAGAGAGAGAGGGGTTTTGCTTGGGACTGAAGTTTCCTATCCGGCACTGATAATGTGATCGCACGACCCTTCGCTGCGTATATAGCCGTTCGCGGAAAAAGAACTGGCGGTAAACAATTTCTGAATTTAGGGACCTCTCACTGAACTCGCATGGTCAGGTCAGGGTTGGGCCGGCTAAGTTATAACCAGACTGGTCGTCGAGCCATGGTCCAGATTCCCCTAAACCGGCCCATTCCTTGTGGCAATTGTTTAAAATTTTTCATTAATTTTTTTATATCGTAAGATTGTTTTTCGATTTTCATACTTTAAAGTTAGAAAATAATAGACAAATTGCATGAAATAATATAAACGTATAGCTAATTTCATATTTTGCATATAAATAAGGGCCAACGTGCCTGACCTAAGACCAATCCAAATCAATGATGACCCACTTTTTCTTATCAAAATCTTAGTTTTTCAAAAGTAGATTGCTCAAAGTTAAACGGATTGAACACAAATAAAAATATGTATACTTTGGAGTATTATACATCTGGATTTAAGTTTTAGAATCTCTTTTTCTATTTTGTCAAATCATACTCTTGAGAAAAGTATTAACGATCTTTCATTGTTCTTTTTATATATATATAAATAAGCTCTATAATTTGTAAAAATTTACAACTATAGTGTGATAAAAACACCCTAAGCTTTCAATAAAAAGAATGTTGATTAAACTATCAAGATCTAAACTTAAATTACCATTTATTTCAAATTTTTTGAATCTGTGTTAAAGTTTTTAAGGGTATACATATACAACACAATTATAAAATATAATGAGATTGTAAACTTCGATCTGCATTTATCAACATCAAGGGTTTAAATCTTATTAGTCCAATTGTACAAAAAAAATAAATGTTGCATTGCTCACAAAAGAGCCCTTGTTCTTAGCAAGAAAGGCACAAGTCAAAAATAAGTGAAAAATGAAAGAACAGGCTCCGTCGTGGATAATTCATTTTCACTTAGTTATCTTATATATTGGTACATAAAATAGATATTTAAATAGGTTAATTTACATATTCGTTAAAGAGCATTCAAAATTATCTACAACAGACACTATCGCACCTTATGTCGGGATCGAAACTAATATTCCACCACCTACTCTAAAAAATAAAAATGGGTTGCTACTTGTCCATACCATAACTTGATATATAATGCTTGTTTTATAAATTAATAGCTAGTGCTTGTCATAGTTGATACGTTCTAAACACGTTGACTATAAATATATTATAATTCGCATTTTAGTTTGTTTTTAGTGTTTGACGTGTATTACTCGATTTCCATTTATTTAAACCTGCTGCTATTATTCAATGAATTTTATTTTTGTAATTTTATATCTAATTTTTTAAAAATTTAGAAATTCAATCCGGTATGTATTACTTAATTAAGCTTGATTTTAGTAAATTATAACTGAATTTCAACAAAAAAATACATCGTATTTTTGTGAAAACATTTATGATTCAAATTGGGGAAAAGTTATGATGTCGTCGACGGTATTATACAAAAATTTACAACTTTTTAAAATTAAGTTATAACTTTTTTAGGTGTAAGTTATAACTTTTAAAGAACATGATCGATTATGAAGGATTGAAAATCAATACCGAAAGTCCATAATTAATCTTGAGTGTCTATGATCAATTATGGACTTTCGCTCAACAATTATAACTTATCTTATTAAAGGTGTAATTTTGCCATAAAAAAATTATAAATGGCGGTGCAGTACGGTACCGATTTTTTTTTAAGATACAGTAGTAGACTTTCCGTTCAAATCGAATTAAATATTAATACATCTATAATTGAATCGAGAATAATCTTTTGATTTAGATTCAATTAGTGAGGGGAAAAAAAAGATTCATACCCGATCCAAATTCGAATTTAGATTTTGACTCATTCATGGTTGTTATGATTAGCAATTCTTCTTCCCAACCTATGGACCAAATCAAAATGTGATAACATCACGGTTAACATTTATAAACAACGAAAAGTAGCTCCGAATTGAAGTAATAATATTACCATTAAAATATTGCCAGTGAACAAAATCAAGCTAAGTATTAGATTATCTTGACTTGTTCATTTGCAAAAAATGCTTGTGGTGAATTATTCAAAAGTTGACATACTCATTTTTTTTCAAATAAAACTTCGTTCATTACTGAATTTAAACTCTTGGATGCAGACTTATTAATTATTAAAGTGCTCTACATGTATATGCTAAGTCATTGTGTGCGTGCGTATGTGTAAGTTTTTTTTACCAAAAAAAAATATATATATTAAAAATATTTAAATTTTATCAATCTAAATAAATAAATCGAGCCATTGTTCACGCTCAGCTAGTTGATTTTGAACTCATCTTGGTATTTAAAGAATGAACAAATGCAATCAAATATTTTGAATTTTGAATATTTTGAGTGGGAGTAGGTTGCGTAGGGTGTTTTGCATAGAAGAGGGAGACCTGGGAGTGGGTTTTGTTAAGAGTGTGTGTGTGTGTGTGAGAGAGAGAGAGAAGTAGAGTACGTGTGTGAGAGAGATATAGATAAGCAGACAGTCAAGGGTTTGCACAGAAAGAGTTGACCTGGGGGGTAGGGGGTTCTTTAACTGTGTGTGTGTAAGAGAGAGAGAGGGTGAGTTTGTATGTGTGAGAGAGAAGCAGAGGATAAGGATGGGTTGCGCAGAGGGCGTAGGGGTGGGGGTTTTACGCAGAAATTGAAAATCTTGGGGATTTGGAGAGGGGTTGTCCCTGAGAGAGAGAGATAAAAGCAGAGAAGAGTGATACCATGGAGGGTTATGGCGGTGGCGGTATCGTTGGCGATGGTAGTGTCACAGGGGCAATAGTGATGTTGAGAGATAGAGAGAGAGAGAGAATGCGTGAAGGGGAAATAGAGAGGCGACAAATCTCTGACAGTAAGTAACTGTGACAGAAAATAATTGATGTCATGGAATGGAATTGAGGGAAAAAGTATGTAAGGTATAAAATTTTAACTTGTTACTTGCTTTATTATATAGATTTCAATAAAAAATACATCATATTTGTATGAAAAATATTTGTGATTCAAAATCGGGGAAACACTACAGTATCGCTGGCGGTATTGTACCGAAAATTACAACTTTTTATGACTAAGTTATAGTTAAAGAGCATGATTGATTATGGAGTATTGAGATTGATACAAAAAGTTCATGATTGATCATGAATATTTATAATCTATTAAGATCTTGTCTCGAACAGTTGCAATTTTTTTTTATTAAAAATGTAATTTTACCATAAAAAGTTATACCCAGCAGTATAGTACCAACTTTTTTCATACAATACCAAAGAGTTTCCTTTCAAATCGAGTTATAATCAAATTAAATATTAGTATATCTAAAATTGAATCTTGAACAATTTTTTATTTAGATTCAATTAGTCAGGAAAAAAAAAAACCCATACTCGCTCCAAATTCGAATTTAGGTTTTGACACATTCACAGGTCTTATGATTAGCAATTCCCCTTTCCAACCCATGGACCAAATCAAAATGCGACAACATCACTGTTGAGTGTTGACATTTTTTTTTTTGGATTATAGGTGTTAAGGGTTGTGCTAACTATTCTCTCGAACTCAGCGATTAATTAGTGTGACTTGGACTGACTTAGAATATGTTTTTAAATGGATAAAAGTGACTAGTCCTTAAGAAACGTGAAAAATAATTGAACCTGAAGCCTATGAGTTACTAAATGATACACCTAACTATTGTTGACATCTATAAACAAGAAAAAGTAGCTCCAAATAGAAGTAATAATATTTCATTAAAATGTTCTAAGCGAACTAAATCAATTATTAGGTAATCGTGACTTGGTCATTTGCAAAAATTGCTAGTGGTTTAGCTCAGCAAAAACGTATTATTCAAGAGTTGACATGTTCGGTTAACGTGTGTGTATATATTTAAGTTTTGTTTTTACCAAAAAAAAATATTTAGATTTTATCAATTTAAATAAATAAATCATGCCCTGGTTCACGCTCAGTTGGTTGACTTTGAAGTCATTTTGAATTTATGAATGAAAAGTGCAATCAAGTTTTGACTTGAAAATATCCTTTACCTATTAATGAACACTTTGTTTTAATTGCGCACCTAATGAAAAAGTAAGAAAAAAAAATACAATCGTACTATGACATGTACACAATTCGTAAATTACGAAAAGATCTACTTAATTTGGAAAAATATTAAAGTATTGAAAGCTAACCATATCAAAATTTATATATTTTTTTAAGTCAAATTATAAATTTTTGCGATACAAGTTATAACAGCAAAATAAAAATAAAAAAATCGAGTCCAAGGTGAGCAACTCAATTTTTTTTATTAGCAGAGGACCAATATTGTCTAGTAATTATTCTGAGTGAGTATACGATACTAAGCGAAACTAACTAGATTTTCACTAAAAAAATTAAGAGAATACGTACAAGATGGTGGACATTGATGACTGTTAGTTGAAACTAAAGTATCGATATTATAATAGTCGCTTGATAGTAGAGGTAACTATTAAAAAAAGTACGTTTTTAGAGAAAGTTGTTAGGAATTAAATTATTTTGATAGAATGGCTTGAGATTAGGAAAGGTAAAAGTCATTCCTTACTCCCTTATTTCGGAATAACGGGATAATTAACTAAAATTATTCCTTATTTCATTCCTTCAAAATAACGAAATTGTTGACAACAGTAATCAACGTACAGTTGTTAAAAAGTGAAAATAAATTACCACTCATTCAAGTAATTTATCATCCATCACAATATTTTATTATTAATTTTTAATTATCTTAATCAATTATAATTTTTATTTTAAAAATAATAAATTTTAGTAGAGTATCGAATTTTTTTTCCTAGAAATTATAATATACATTTAATTAATGTGGAGAAATAAGATTTTGTGCGTCTTACTCAGTCATCTCTTAAATGCTCGATAGTCCACGCCTACAACAGTCTTTGCTTCCCCCGGTTTTTCACTCGGAACTCCTCCATCATCATCCCGTACAAACATGCCCTCATTTTCGTACCTCAATCCTCAACCGGCTTCCCCTTAGCCTACGCACCCCCAGCACAGGATATGGAGGCGTCGTTTGTATCCAAAGCGAGGACGGCCTTTCATTCCGCGGCAGCTAAAGCGGAGAGAGTCTTCACGGATATTAAAAAATCTGATTTAATTACCACCGATCGAGGTACACCTTTTTCATTTTTCATTTTTTTTTTTAATTTTATATGCCACTCACATTTTTTTTTATTATATATATTTTTACTATATTTAGGATTTGAAATCGGTATTATTTTCTGATATTGTTGAATTTTTGTATCACAATCGATGTTCAATTCAATCCAATCGGAGAAGATTCTGATAAACAATGTCCGAAGACATCAAAAACTGATTCCTCTAACAACGAGGATGTGTCCAAGGTAAATATATGTATATTTTTTTGGTTGTTAATTAATGTAGATGTTGATTGAGATCAATATGAATTCTATTCAGTATCGATCTATCAAATTCTGTTGAGATTGTATGAACTGAGCGTTAATTGAAGGCTTTATGAACTTGATTCAACGATGAGCACAACGGAGAGATGAAGTGAGAAATCGGAAGTTGAATTTGGTCTCATTTTAAATGTAGATAAACTTTTTTGATTTACAGCAGATTGAAAAAGGAAACAAAAATAAAAGAAATTTGAATTGCAAATTTTACTTCTATCCCCTGTTAGTTTCTTTAGACGGAATTGTCGCCTTGGCCAAGTAGTTGCCTGTACCGGAAGTTGATAAATATTTATTTTTGGTTTGAGGTCCTAAAAAACGAAAATGATATGATGTAACGAATTCTAGTTTGTTTAATTTTAATTTACATATTTTCCGCAAGCGAACCGGGGATAGAAGTAAACTATTCTTGTTAGGTAATATTATAACATGCAATGTTCCATTTGCCAATAAACATGGGATGTTTGTTCATATTTAGGTTGCTTTTAATTGTTCTATAAGTAATGTCGTTTGGAAATAGTTACTTTTTATGACCCTTGTTGATATATGTGCGCTTAATACCAAATGTATTGGCACAGGGTGGGCATGAAGTGAAAAATTTGAAGTCGCCAATAAAGATAAAGCAGGATTGGCACGAGAGATTCAAGAACATAAGAATAGGCAAGAAAGAAGTTCAAGATATTAATAAAGCTGAAAATTCAACGATGTCTTTTGCTATTTTTGATGAAAATTTATACCTGGTGAGCTCGGGAGATGTTTCCCAATCAAAGGTACATGAATTTTTATTATCATTTTTGTAGTGTTTGAATGCTTTTGAAAACACTCGATGTATTTCTACACATACAGGACAGTCTAACTGTCTATACTATATTTGGAACTGAAGATCAAACTTTTTCGATGCAGACATGCAACTAGGACTAGAATTATTACCTTATAAATTGGCTTATAAAAATATGCAACCAAGAGTTATATTTATATTCCAGGAGTAACTTCTCATAGTTCAACTGCATATGTGTTCGACATTAAAGCACTTAAGTGAATGTAACCTTGTCTAATTACTAGTTAGACTTGCCAACTCTGGAACCTTGGTACAAAAAATGCTAGTAGCCCAGAATGGCAGAAGGCAGGGACCAACTGTGGCCAACTATTTTTAAAAATAAACATGATCCGAAACTGGCTAATAACAAGACCTGCTTCTCGTGTATAACAGGTTGTGCCAACACCCAACATAGATCTTTTATGACAGTTTATACGAATATGGAAATAAGAGGATACAAGAAGTGGGTTCATCTTGTTTAATGACTTTAAATTGTCTGTAAATGTGGGGAAGGCTTCAGGAGATAGTCTACATATTTTGGGTACAGTTATAATTTATGAAAAAAAATCCTAACCATCCAAACAGGAGTTGGCATTGTTTGTTTGGGTTTAAAATTATTACCAAAAATATTAGAGTAAATTTTGGTGTTTGTTAGAGCAATGGAAACCACAAAGATTCTGGGGCCATTATGGTCAAGCCACGCCAAACAGTGGAATTTGTTTTTGGTTCTTTTCCAAAGTTTATGTGAATGAGAAAATCACTAACTTGGAATAAACCCATATTTTTAAATACAGAAATCAAATTATATCAAAGTTTGTAAGATTAAATCGTTATTTTTATTGCAAAAAGGTACAGAGTAGAAAAAATTCATTGCAATTGCTTTACTTAACAATTTGAAAGGTCATGTATAGTGAGTGAGTTGGAATTTTCTCAACATTTCAATTTCCTTGGTTCTAAAAAGTAGAATTGCTTGATCATGTGTATTATTTTCTGAGGATTGGATTGATGTCTTTTAGGGTTCAAAATCGGGTTCCTCGGTAGAAAGTTCGTATGCCTCAAACACAGATTGTATTCCTCCAACAGCTGTCATGAAGCAATTGGCCATAGCTGTTGAGTAAGATTTTGTTATTGGAATTTTGAACAATTCTTTGTTTTGTAGTTCAATTTTTTTCTGAATTTAATCTCTTCTTCTTGGTTGATTGCCTTTCATATAAACAAAATAGTAGTGTTTATTTTTAAAATCCCAATTTGTTAGTTTTTTATCAAATGATATTTTTTTTTTGTTTTTCCACTCTTATTGCAACTTATCTGATATGATACATATACTATTGCAGAGTATTTCTAACTCCATTTTTGACTGATGCTTTCCTTTTACGTAACTTTGGTACACTAATTAAGTTGACAGCTACAGTAATAGCATTTTTCTATATGTTATGTTTTAATTGCTAAAGAAATGCAACTGCAACTACTCTGAATTGGTGAGCAGCATATAATGTTTCATCTTTTCTTTCCTTTTTTTTCCCTTTTTCTAGGGCTGGGAAGACATATAAGACTATTAAAGATCTTCTGGCATCATCCAGAGATTCTTCACCTGTCAGGGAGAGGGCTGCCTTGAATTTCTCTGCAGTGAAGTCGTTAGTGCTACGTGAAAAGGAAGATAAATTCACCACTGAGTTTGGTGCTGATGATAAAATCCTGTCGTTGATCAATTCACTGCTTGATGCAGGTAGATGCGTGATATAGTAATCCCGTGGAAATTTTTTTCCTTAGAAAGAAATTTTCACCCATAATTATTTGCATTATTCCTTGATGATCTTTCACTTCCATTGTAATATCTGCAAGATATTCGCAGAAGGACATTTTACTGGGAGTAAGGCCGGCTCTGGTTTGGATAAACTTTCAAACATCACATCTTTGCCTAACGATATTCATGGTGCTCCTCCTGAAAGCTTTCTTGTTAAGCTTTCTGAAGCCATTGGAAACTTAAAAACCCTGAGGAAAATGGCTTTGTTTTGGTGCGGGGTTGTTGCTGAAGTAAGTGGACTCCATTGAACTTGAATGCCAAATATAATATACATAGCTGTTGATAACAAAGGAAAATTTTCTACATCTCACAAAAATAGTAATACTTCTATGAAGACATTTTTTGAACGTAATTTTTACTGTTATTGTCATACTTCTCTTGAAGACGTCATGTTGTTGTGGTTTCTGCATGTGCATGTGTGCAAATTTATTTTTCCACAGATTCAGCTCTCTTTTTGACATGAGTTAGTTGATACATCATCACATGAACTACAGTGGATATGGAAAGTTTTGCTTTCTGTGGACTTCATTGCTATAAAATATTGAGAAGGCAGCGACACATAAGGCTACTTGGCAAAATAAGCAGGCATTCTTTTTCTCTTTGAATTTGGTACTTCTATAATTTCATTAGTGGTTATGTATGGCCAAATCTTGCTAACTTTTGCAAACTTAGAGCTGATTATGATTAATTCTGTGGTAGGTTTAGGATATGGCAAACTTCTTGGTTATTATAATACGAGAGAGAATAATGGTTGTAAGGCTTGTTGTTTGTTTAAGGTTGAAAGAAGCTTATTTTCAAGAGAGGAAAGTTACAGAAATATAGTATGAAGTGGTTCTGAATGTAAGGGACAAGAAGCTTGTAGGGTGTGTAGGAGTCAATTTGAAGGCCAAAGTAATGGGAAAAGGTTGGGGATGGATGGTGCTTGTTGGGTTGAGGGTTTGTTAATTAGAAATGAGGTCTAAAGTGCTATTTTTGGGACTTCTGTATTTTTTGTGAACAGCAATCCGGGAAATGTAATTTTGGATTTTGACTGGTTTTAGGTTGCCAGGGTTTCATGATTTGGTAGGTACAAGAACTAAACAAAACAATCATAAAATTCTCTACAAAATTCAACAAACACTTTCCTGTATATCCCAAATAGCTTTTAGTTTAGGCTTTCAAAGCTTGTGATATTTGTCTAATCAATCAGCGGATGTTGCTTTAGATTTTATAACAACTCAAAACCTATAAATTATAGTTGTCATACATTATAGTGTTTGGTAATGACAATGTGACCTCAAGGAACTTCAATTTACAAAATGTTGAACAAACATGTAGGGAGTTGTGAAGTTATGACTTGATTCAACATGATACATGATTTCTTTACGCAAGATCAACATTTAAGAAACTAATGTAGGATCAAGAATGCATGTTATAGGCATGGCCTTATACTTGGTACCTTCCGAGTTGCTTTATAAGGAGTAGACATCTCTATTGGTCTTCTGTTTTCTTGAAGAATAATCCAAAAGATGCACCCTATTATGGCATTCTATATCTTTCTAATTACCTACCTTCTGACCCTTACGTGATTATGATGAAGTTGACTTTTACAGTAGCCTCGTGATCAGGTCCATGATCAGCAATGTCACCTCTTTAAGTTGTACATCATACATTACCATTTCCAATCTTTAGACTCATTGAAGCGTTCTGTTTCATTTAGTTCAGTTACTCAATGGTGAGATACTGATTCTGTGGACCATATAATTCTTACAATAAATGAAACACAAAAGACGGTAAAACCTTCCGCTTTTGTCGATACTATTGTTTCATGGGTCTAATTACCAAGGTAAGATAAATCTCTTCAGTATTTCTGTTGAAGGCTGACTTTGCAATAGCACAAACCAAGTGAAATTTTACTAAATTTTTCTGCATTTGTTAGACTTCGAGAATCAACTAAGGGACTCACTGTCAAACTCCCAATTCCTTGGCACCCTTCTTCAGAAAAAAACAACGATGGATGCCAGCCTTTTCTTCATTCTCATTGTCATCTACTTTGCATTGAGACAAACTAGTGGGGAACTTGGTCCTCTTGGACTTCTCTCTTCATCTTCACTTCTTGTTTATATGAGATTCTTTAGAGCCTCTCATTAATAAATTGTCAGATAATAAAGTATTTTCTGAATCCTTTGACTTGCAGCTGAGAAGACTCTGGGCTGAAGAGCAACATATTCCTGGCATTCCACCAGATGAGATTCCAGACTTGAAATCCTGTCTTTTGTATCAGCAGTTGCAGGTTATCAACTGTTGTCTCTCCAGAAAAAGGCGCCACTCTGTTGCCACTGAAGTATTAGATTCTGTTGAAAGGCAAGCCAGTTCAAATGTTGAAGCACCAGCTGCTTCTGAAGGCCCAACCCCTGAAAGTTCTACTTTATATGCTAGAATTAGTACTGGGGAACTTGTTCTCCGGATGGGAGCTGATAAAGAATCTGATAATTTAACAATGCTGGAAACTGGTGAACTTATTTATACCCCTGTTATGCAGGTCTAATCAATATGATGACAGTGTTTTTTAATAATTAAATTTGTAATTTTGCCTGTTGTTTATAGTCTGTGTATGCATGCATATGTAGGAAGGGCCTCTGCTAACAGAAGATCTTATCAAGGAAACAGAGGAATTTGTACTACGAACTGGGAGGTCTGTGTAGTGATTAATGCCCAATTAATGAGCTATGCCTTTTTCAGATCTCAAGTTTGTGTTTCTCGTATGTAGGGCCATTGAACTCCCTGTAGTTTTTGTAAGCTCATGTTATTGATCTGAACCTTCTTGGGTGCTTCAAATAGCTCTGCATGGACCTTTTGAAAATGAGACATGGACATTGCAAGTGAATATATTCTAAGGCTCAAGCCAAAAATAAAGGAAAATTTTACTTGGGCAGTCTTGGTTGCCGTTGTACATAATTGCTATGTTATAGTCTAACTGATGCTGGTAAATTGGAGTTTTTTTGGACGCTTTAAATAATTATAGATGGCTTTTCAAGATTGCGTTGTCGACATTTAACATGAATATATTTATAGGTTCGAACTTCGAACCTACTTGGTTCATATTTTATTAGGGTTGTAGGTTAACAAATTTGTGGAGACACATGGATTAGTAAACCATAGCTTTATTACATTTCTTACAAGAATATGTATGCTTGCATCTGTGCTGACTTTGTATCTCTTTTTCACTGAAATTCCTTGATTCCAGTGGGCATTGGGCAGTAGTTTTTTTGCTTTTTTTTTTTTTGGGTAGTGAGTGAGAAAGGAGATGACATGGGCCTGGGTAACCGTGCTAAGTTCGGTAGTCTAGGGAAGATTGCATTTAGACCTTTGGAATACAGTATTTTGTGATCTTAGAAATCCTTGTCCTGTTTAGTGGGCCTTAAAATTGATGGATCTAAGCTTAATTCAAGCTAGGCATTGCCAAAACTCAGACTGGATGCTGATGCACATAGATTATTAGTTCATAATTCAATGCTTATGGTCAAGTGCAAAGGGCAGTAAAACTACCTGTAGGTTAGTTGTCAATTTGTTTGTAGGACTTTTAGGACTTCTAAGTCCAATTTGACTGAGTGAAGCTTATCATAATATTTTTGGATCATGTGGTCGCAAGTACACAAACAAGGTAATGATGCATTTCTGGAATGCAACAATATTGTGAATTCTCCTTTGAAAACATCTCAAATTCAATGTTCTGTTTGCTCAACAAGAAACGGATTATTAAGCACGCTTCCTAGAATTAAAGCTTTCTCAGCTGTAATTATGGCTTTTTGTTTTCCTCTTTTTGCTCAAATCAAGAAAGTAAAAACAATTTTTTTCTTTCTTTTTGCTTGTTTTCCTAGGTTTTCCTCATGCTACAGTTTAGTTTCTTATTGGTGGTTCTATGTCGTTGATAATTCTGAAAGGGCAGTGATTGGCACCTTTCTATTCTTAGCTAGTAACTTTTTTCAAGTTATTTTAACAAACTGCCTCATTTTCTATGTTCAGTGTTGGTGCTGGATGTTCTCAGCTTCTCTCTGACATGCAGGCCTTTAAGGTGAGGTTTCATAAACCATTCCTATGTTCAACAGAGGCTTCTGGCTTTTATTGTTGCAAAAATGTTAAGATACTATTTGGCACACACATAATTAGTCTATGTTATAATGTGTTAGGCTGCAAATCCTGGTTGTGTATTAGAAGATTTTGTAAGATGGCACTCCCCCCCTGATTGGATGGAAGCTGAGGCAAGCAATGAAGCTAAAGAAACCATTGAAGGCGGGATTTTTATCGTGTGCAAGAGGTCAACTAAGTAGGCGAATGCAGAAA